GAAATAAATTCAACATTTCAACAACATTCAAAACAACAAACACGTTGAGATCTATTTTGTCCAAAACCAAACCTAACAATGAACAAGAAAGGACAAAGAATTGCATTTATAAAATAACTTGTGAATGCGATCAGTTTTATTGAGGTGAATCATCAAGGCCATTAAATGTTAGAATAAGTGAACATCAATCTTATATTAAAAATAGAGAATTTGATGGATCTCAAATCTGTAAACACGCATGGGATAATGAACATAGGGTTCAATGGAATAATTCAAATGTAGTCCTAAAAGAAACGGATGGCAAAAAAAGAAAAAACAAAGAAGCGGCTCTAATTTTGCTAAATGAGGCCAATTGTGTCGCAAATTCCTCGGCAGAATGTAGTAGGACCTGGTTACCAATATTGAAAGAGGAAGTTATTAATAAGAAAATACCAGTATTAGTAAGTCAGTAACATATAGAGGATACATCATTTATGTTTTTTAAATAACGTAACATATAAAATCAGAATTTTGATGTTTGTTGAAGGTGAACTAAATTCACGAACAAATACTTACAATGTCGGGATAGTATTATGAGGTTTTTTTCCTGGTTTTTCCCTCATAATTTACTATGGAATCACTAACCGGAGAATTTTACTGTCATCATGTCATGTGTTTGTCTTTTTAAAGACGAATGCCAAGCTAAAAGCTGAAGACAGAATACGGTACATCGGAGACCATGGACTTGGAGTCAGAAACAAGAGAGGAGACCTCCTAGTTGTCACCAACATATTCTGTTAATTGCTACTTCAAAAGCTGTGCACTTGGAAATTCCCCCAAGACAGACCCAGGAGAATCATTAGAAATCAAATATATTATATAATAGTATTACTAAAAACTCAAAAGAATTTTGAGTAACACTCTATACGTAATACTAATACTTTTGAGTAGTACTTTGAGTCAAACTTAAAAGACTGCAGAAAAGGAAATCGCAATCATACGATCTACGAATGCTAAATGTCATTGATACAAAAATGATGTTCCAAGCTACGTTAAACGAGTAAGTGGCTGCAATTAGACATGAATCGAACGAAGAACAAACGATTAAACAGATCAAAGAAAAATAGTTCAAAAGATAATAGATACACACTTGAAGGTAGATAAATTAATCAAGAAATATTTGAGGTTATGAGAGCAAGAGTGGGCTAACCCCAAATATTGAATAATGGATTTATATGAATCAAGAATATATGCGTTTTTTGAAATTTTATAAAATTGCCAAAAGGTAGTCATTCTTTACAAATCATTAACTAATAACAAAAAACTCAAAAATCTTGCAGTATAATTAACAAAAATATGAAAATTTAAGCTTTTTTGTGGATTAGACCGCTTTTGCATCAGTGTGTCCTTAAAAAATTTAATAGGAATGGGGATTAGACCTGGAGTACAATACAATTAAACGATATCAATGTTGAAAATATGCTTTATTAAAAAACAAAGTAACTTGAATGAAACAAAGAAACTGAACAGTGAAACAAAGTAACAAAAATAATTTATCTTTTAATCTAAAAATCCAAGGCCCAATTTGGGCTGTAGTGCCATAAAAAAATGGATCAACACTACTGTTTTTTTGGAAAATATGCTACAGAGCTAAGAAGTGATATTGGTCAATATTTACACGTCCCATTATTATGACATTATGTGTTCTCTACCTAAAATTGACTCTTAGTACAAGAAGTCTAGTAGAAAGATTGAAAATATCAACATCCAAAGTACTTACAAACATAATATTCAATGAGAAAAAACATGGAAAAGTGTGAAGAGCAGACAGGATGTCAAGGTGAAAAATTGTAAAGCTAAACCACTAAAATTTAAAAGTTTAACAATCGTTTTATACAATATCATAAAATATTATCTGATTTTTATTAGATGCACATAAAAACGTTTATAAAAAATCTTCTACATGAATATTTCCATATTTAGAACAGTATTACTGACAACTATGTACAAATAAAATTTAAAAAAAAATAATTTGGGCGTTAACGGGGATTAAACTGTGAAGACTAGTAAAAAAAATAATTTAACTCACAGCCACTGTGTGTTTATTGTGATTTACAAAACGGCTATTTTCTAACCTGTATCAATTATGGAACGATCACATTGGTCAATTTAACTAGATCGATAATAGAGCGTTATACATTTTAAACAGAATGACTATGCCAACTTTGGTATGATAAACCTTTAACGTGATATACGGTATTGTATTATTATAGTATATATTACAATAATATTGTGATTTTTGTTAATATAAGCCTTCTGCACTTACAGTTTATTCGTAGTCTATGATTATTATGAATATCGTTTTATGATATTGATGTTAACAAATAATCTGCAATGCATTTTTAGTATTTGAATATTATAACCAGCATTAGTCGCTGGGGGGCCAGATGTGAAATATAATAAGATTAAAAGATAATAAGACATTGTATTTCCTTTTTGTCTATTATGCACATATTGCATAACTGTTTTTTCTTTAATATTTTATTTTGTTGACCTGATTATAGACTTAAAAACGTTAAACAGTAGAACAACGTATGTGCTTCATGACAAACCACGCATATTATCTTCTTTTTCACCTCTTGTCTGTAGTCTTTCTTTTTTCAACCTCGAATGCTTGAAACCTTCTTTGTCCTGAGTTGTTATACGTCAGATATGTTTGCCATATTGAAATGACATTTCATACAATTTTCTTATTTTTATGTCCGATTTAAACAAATTTATCCTTGCTATAAGTTAACCCTAGGATACTGACATTAGACCTAATCCACTAATCACATGCAACTAAATAAGTTGGTCGCCTTTGAATTTTGGTGTTACAGAAGAATCCTACGAATATCATGGACTCAAAGAATGTCAAACGAAGGAGTTAATAGAAGAATAGGAAATGAGGCTGAAATAGTATCTATCAAAAGAAAAAAACTTGAGTACTTAGGCCATGTTTTAAGAGGACAACAATACTTATGATTGTAGCTTATTATGCAAGGCAAAATTCGATCTTCAAAACGTAACTCATCAGACTTATTGTCCGATAATCACTGCATGTCTTTGCACGAAGTTTCTTTGGTAATGTGACAAATGTCGACTTAAGCAGCCAATCAGTTGGTTATATCCCATTGTCATAAATGTTGTTAAAGAGAGCATAAAGTAGTTTCCAAAAACTTTGGTATTTCAGCACTTACTTCATCAGGGCTAAGTGATTTTCCATTTTTTGCTGATTGTATTGCACATGTAACCTCACTTTCTGTTATAGATGGACCTGTTATAGTAATCGGTGTATAGTGTTCTACTCCTTCATATTTAATTAATTCCGAAATGTAGTTTTTCCATTCTTTTAACTTGTTCATTGATATCTAATATTCTGTGTTCGTTTTTGGCTTCTAAACTTTGGGATAGTTGTTTCCGTTTGATTCTAGCGATTTTTTTTAACTTCTTGTGGAGATGAAATATTTGTTTTCATATTGTTCAATCTCATTACATTCTTTACTACGAAATTGTGTTATTGCATATCTTATCTTCTGCCTGATTATTGCGTGGATTCTCTTGTATACGTTTTTATCTTTATTTCTGATTTTTCTTTTTTGCTATATGAGTCTCAGTATTTCTTCTGTTATCCATCCTTATTTCCTTCTTGTTTTTACTGCACTTAATATTGCTTCTTAAACGGTCTGTAATATATCTTTAATTCTCGTTCAGTTTTCCTCAGAACTTTCATCTTTACTTGATGCCAACTTTATTCTTTGTTCTAATACACTGGTTATTTCTTGTTTTACGGTATCATTTGACATCTCTTCTCTATCAACAGTAACTGTTTGCTTATTAGTCCTTGTAACTCTTTTCAATCTCAGTCTTATTTTTCCTACCAGTTCTGCATTGTTCATCTGCATATCTGCACTTCTGTACTTGATGACGTATTGACTACTAATACTGAATTTCTGTATCTTTTATTTATACATATGAAGTCTATTTGGTTACGAACCAAAAACGAAAGTTTGAAAATTGTGTTTGTTATTACTAGTTGCTTTTCTATCCAAATAGATACCAACATATCTTCTCTTTCATTTGTCATTCCCAGACCATATTTTCCTATGATATCTTCCTTTTCTCATTCACCAATCTTTGCATTAAAAACTCCGATGGCAATATTGATCTTGTGTTTCTTTGTAGATGCTAATAATCATGATAGAATTTTTCAATTTCTTCTCTTTCGTAGACTTGTGTGGGTATATGTTCTTGTAATATATTCGCATTTATCATTTTTTTTGTATTTGTAACATTAGCATCCTGTCTAAGAATAGAAGGACGTTTTTCACAGTTTTATCTGTTTCCTTCGTTACAATTATTGCTAGACTATTTTTATGTTTTAAACTGTCTTCTCGTAAATAGTAGTAAAATGTGATCTTCTATAGTTACTTTGTTAGACCCTGTTTATCTCATTTTAATTTTTCCAACTATACTTATATTAAGGCGCTTCATTTCTTTTATGATGTTATGAGCCTTTCCTGATTCATACATGCTTCTTACATTCCATGTACTTATTTTCTTTCATCAGAAAATGTTTTCATGCTGTTAGCTGATGGAGAGATTCTAAGCACACCCGCTAGGAGCGCCCGTACTCGGGACTGTTGTATTTATCAGCCATTTCCATAATTGTGTCTTGGGATAGTTAGGCTCTACGTAGTTTCCTGTTGCCTTCCTAGAGCGTGAAGTAAAAGTAAATATAGTGACCCATCTGCCCGGGAAAACTAATAGCCATTCGAAGTCGGAAAAAACAAGAGTTACCAAGAGAGGTTGATAGGAAAGATTAAAGACATTTCATTCAAAAAGAGTAATGATCTTCAGCATGCCATAGTATGGAGCATAAAGTACTTGTCTTTTTTACAATGTGGACATTCCAACTCCATGGCCTGATCTCAAAATGTGTATACAAAATTAAAAACTGGACTAATTAATATATTACATACCTCCAGGGTTTAAATTTTTTGATTGGGCTGAACTAGAACCAGCCGCTCCAGATGAACGTCTAGACCTGAAAAGAAAAGAAGTGATAATTATTTTATCATTAACCCTTATAAATATATTCATACTAATTAAACAAAAACAAAGTACACAGTCGCTAAGTATTCTCGCTATTATTATTTTTAATTTATCACAGTGTTCCGTTTATTCTCACATTCTATAATTTTGGATTACAGCCTGGATATAATACAGAATATCTACTTTCCTAATCCTACTGTCACATCCTTAAAGACACAATGTGTCGTGTAATCACTGGGTCTATAGCATATAATAAATGTGTGATATGAAGTAAACACAAGTTTCTGGAGCCTTAAAACTGGAATAGCTAATGGATAAACCTTATTATTTAAGTGTAACATATCTAGATCCAAAGCCTCAAAATCGGAATGGTTCTATTAGAGAGATCTTGTACAGTGACTAAGAAATATTAGATAATCGAACATATTATTACAGGCTAAGATATGGAACAAACACAAACAAAAATAACAGAAACGTAACTGTAAACTAGTCGGCATAAGACAAGAATAGTAGACTGTATAGGATTAGAATATTAGCAAAAATGTTATCAGGTCTTATTTTGTTAGACCCTATCTATGTACTATCTCACTTATGAAAGAACATAGGAATAGGAAAATAGATTCAAAATAGGAAAGCCGCGGAATCTAGTATACACATAGAGCTTATTAATAGTGATTTATTATTACTAATAAACTAACAAAAATATTCAATGATTTTAAGAAATATGACTGTAAGTATACCTAAAATGTAGAAGTGAAATCGATTTATAACAAGAAAATAAAGAGAAATTGCTAAAATCACAGAGGTGTAAGTGGTATATCCTCTGTGGGTAGATTTTATGCAACTAAAATCTAGAATCCAAGAACAGTCACTTGACATCGAAGAACTTTGTAGTTTCGACTAAGATCATGTATCAAAAATATATTTAAAAAAGTTAGGACCGGCGATAGAAGATATGGCGTATTTTCAGTGCACGTAAATGCAATAAGACAGTTGTAAGTAAATAAAGGTATAGATATCTGTATAACTAGTTGCCTACCTATATTCTTTTATCAATCTTTAGTCCACCTACAATAATATCCAATATACAAATTTTTTAACAAACTTTCAGGATAAACCATACTTTAAATTACGACATATTGATGGTTGCTACGAATATTATTAATCAAATTGTAACATATTTAATTTTACATATTGCTAGCTTCTGTAACAGTAATAGTTACTGCTGCACTGTTATTTTAATCTAATAACATTTAAAAGGTTTTTACCCATATATTTAGTGGCTTCAAACATGTACATACAGTAAGTATTAAACATATTTTTTGTAATAACCTTGGTCAAAATTTTAACTCTTACGTTTGATTTGTGTGTTACAAAACACACATACGAGTGCTTTTTAGGATAGTACTGATGATGGAACAGTTATTTCCAAAACGTTCTGGGATGTAGCATGATAGGGTTTTATGATTATACTTTTATAAAGAAATTTTTTAAATAAAATTTTTGTGATACATGGTATACAGTCAACTACAGGAATTTAGTTTCCTTGCGGATTTATTTGGAATGTTATGTATAATTTTACTGTCTTTGGTAGGAGAAAAGAAATGATTATTAAATTTAATGTGATGTCCAAAGATTGATTTATCTGACTTTTTGAGGTGTTCTTTGATTACTTCAGCCAGAGTTATCATTGTTCTACCCTTATAATTCATGGTACAATCACAAGACAATGTTTGTAAATACTACTTTTTATTTTTTAAATAAATTTTGTGCTTACTTTTGCTAAAAATGGACTTTGGTGTTTGGTTTTAAAAGAGATGTTTAAGTTACTACAAAGTACGCTTAATATATATATTTTTTAAATTTGGTCCTAAATAAGATAATGATGTATAAATGGATGTAGTGTTGGATTTATTTTCTACAATAAAAGCTTGATTAAGTCTCTATTTGAGCATTGACCTTCTAATGACTTTATCCACAGTAGCAGGAGGAAAACCATAGTTGTTTGCTATTAGTTTAATAATTGAGTTTTCTTGAGACATACGAATCTTAAGAAGTCTATAAACATAACAATGAATAGCTGCCATCTTATGATGAAAAGGATGGGTCGATGATGTAGATATCATACGATCATTTTGAGTAGGTTTTCTGAAAATTAAAAATTCTAATGTAGAAAAAGATGAATAGGAAGAATTGTTTTTAATGGTTAAATCTAAAAAGTTGATAATATTGCTACTTTATAACTCTTAGGTAAAATTAATTGCAGGATGCAAATTATTCATTAATGACAAAATGTTGTGTGATTCTGAAGGTTGGCCTTCTATAAAGGCTAAACTATCATCTATACCATAAGATTATTTGTGGCCGGAAATGAACAAAAGTATTTTCAAGCGAGTCAAAAAAAAAGATCTGTCTTAAAGAAAAAAGTGGATTTCCCATTGCTAATTTTTCTGGTTATATATAAATTTTATTGTTAAAGTTAAAGAAGTCTTGGAAAAGAACGCACTGAAGTAGAGAGATAATTTGTAAACATTTATTAGAGTCGATGGTTTTTGTGAGTTAGAGATTTTTGATGATTGGAATTACACTACTACAAATTACACTGAAACATTAGTGAAAAAATTTGCAATTGGATATATTATCGGCAAGTGTTGCCGATAGTATATTTCGCAGTGTAACTTGGAGAAGAGTGTTCATAAATATTACTAGTGAAGCTAATGGAATATTGAAAAAACTATCTACTGATGTTATTGGAACAGTAACTTTCTGAATTTTTGGAAGACCATTAGAGTTTGATATCAATGGATTGCTAAAAATAAAAGTTTTGGGGTTAATTTGAAGTTATTGAAACACATTTGTAGTATTAAAAATGTTATATCTTAACAAAATCTGTATTGTACATGATCAGAAGGCAATTTCCTTGTGTCAGTTTTTGTTATTATAAGTTTGTGTTTTAATTTTATTAGAAATAGATTTACTAAGTTTAAATTGTGAGTGAAAAGTTGACATAACCTTATTGGTAGAAGAGTATTTTTGATAAAAAGAAGACTGGTTTAGTGAAAAAAGACAAGACATTTTTATATTAGTTTTTTAAGATTTTTGTATAAGAGTAAACAACAAGAACATTCAAAAGGTTCCCAAGTTCAGATCTCGGTAGTTGGATAACTGGAGATCTAGATCTAGACATAGAGATACGTAGCAGAATTGAGCAAGCCAGAACAGCATTGACTAATATCAGAACCTTGCTAAGCAACAGCGGACTCAACTCAACGCTTCTATATCGCTTTGTAAAATGTTACATTCACTCCATACTGCTACATGGTGTAGAAACCTGGACCATAAAGGCCAATGTGATCAACCGATTGGAGGCCTTTTAAATGTGAGTATTTAGAAGACTACTTCATATTCCCTGGACAAATCACACAAAAAATGTCGAAGTATTAAATCAAATGGGCAGAGAACGAGAATTGCTGCCAATAATAAAAAGAAGAAAAACTGCTTATCTGGGTCATATATTTCGATATTACAAGTATCAGTTCTTAAAGTTTATTATGGAAGGGAAGATAGAAGGAAAACGAGGCATCGGAAGAAAGAAATACTCATGGCTTAAAAACATAAGAGATTGGACAAATCTCGATGCCCATGAACTTTTTAGAGCCGCACAAGATAGAGAGGAGTATGCCAGAATTGTCGCCAACATCCACTCATTGGATAGGGCACCATAAGAAGAAGAAATATTTGTGATATTCAAATTATAAACTCAATTGCTACATACAGTAACTCAATGTTATTTAAATCAGGTTTAGTTTTTATACAAAACATAAGACTCTTACTCAAAAAATCAAGTTCTGCTTTTGTCAAACTGCAATAAGATAAATATTGTCGACTCGTCTGATTAATACTGTTATTAGTATTTTTATTAAAAAAGGATGTTGTTGATTATTACCTGATCGATCTAATTTTAGTTTGTTTAATTTTTTTTGTTTAAGTTTTGTTTAAGTTTTTCATATTTAAGATGAATACTCAATGCTAAATCATCTTAATGTTTTTGAACAGCTTGTTAAAATGCTGAAAAAGAAAAGGTTACCCCTGCAATATTATATAATATTTTAAGTTCCATGTTGATAGTGGTGATCTTGGCATAAGGGAGACAAATTTCTGTTCTAAGGAACTTTCTTTCCAAATCTGTTTTAAACTTTGTTGGTATGTTCTTGTATGTCTTACATACAGCAAAATTTGGTGTAAAATGTTGCTTAAGGTGATTAATGTTTAATGTTGCTTTGGTGCTTAAGATATTAATGAATTAAACAGAATGTCAATATGTAAAACTTCTCTCTTTGCAGACGTAAGTGAAACATTGTAAACTTAAAATTAGTTATTTATATCAATGTTTCTAATTTTTTAATTTTTAAATACGATTGTGTCTATAAAAGTGATTGATTACGATTGATTCAAATAAAAGAGTTAAAAAGATTTAAAGACTTTCGTTACCAACGTACATAAGTACAATGTCAGGCACAGAGAGATATAATTTAATATTAAATGTTAAACGTAAATCTTAAGAGACCTATTATTATATATACTTTACTAATTACTGGATATGACCTATAGAAAAAATATGACATTTGTACTTATTGTATTTGTACATTTTGATTAATTACCTGAAAACTAACAGCATTTGAGACAAACTACTAACGGCAGAAAAATCTATATAAAAGCATATAATTATTTGTAGAGGAAGACAAGCGTGACACATTAAGCAACAACTAGACCAAAAACATACCGTTACTATAATTTTTCTTAAAAAGTTTGTTCGTTCCGGATGTTACCTATTGAATTAGCAATTATAACAATTAAAAAGTGTTTCCACATCGCACAATTATTCATACCAGCCTATACAATAGTTGTAGTTGTGTTACGTTAAACAAGCAAGATTTGAGATCTGCATTAGCAATAAATAAGTAGTTATTGGCAGATCTACACCAAATGGCT